TTTATATATTTGCAGTAGTCTATTAGAAATGTAAATTTTTAATTATATTAAAGATTTCGTGAAACATATTATTGAGCCATCCAATGTTTTGTGCGCACAGATAAGAACAATTGATATTCGAACAAAGATCGTCTTTTTTTTCGATAGGAAGTACATGTATGTAATTCGATGATTGCTTAACACTTCCAGCTTTGCGCTAAATCGCACATACAACCGCTCAAAGATAGCAGAAGATACGAATAATCGCGAAGATACGAATGATAATGCACGAAAATTAGGCTCATTATCACCGAGGCAAGGTCAGGGTTTACACAGATTAAACTGACATTCGATATGAGTTAATGTACATGTGTCGTGTGATGAGAGAAAGCGTCTTTACGCATTTCCGTACAAAGTCTATCTTTTTTAAACCGCAAAAATTTCTCGGAAATTCACACATATGCGCGATTACAACTCGGAAGCTATTGGCGCTTCGATATTTTAGTCAAGAAAAAAACAATTTCGAACTTATCACAACGATTTCTCGAACCTCACTTAGATAAAAAAAAATCACACACACGCGTTGATTTTTATCCGTCACATAAAATATGATAAAAGGCAAGATAAAAATCTCAAAGTCCGACCATGCGCGTCGCGCGTGGCAATGTATTGTAATACTTTTTACATTTTACCGCGATTAAGATAAGCCAAGAGACGCCAGTAAGGGATCATGAAAAGAGGAGAAAGAGAGAGAGAGAGAGAAAGAGAGTGAGAAGAAACTTGTTTACTTGAGATTATGGTGGATTAATGAGTTCGGCCAGGTCAACAACAGTGTGATTGAAATTTATCGCGACAAGGTCGTGCATCTTCCTTCGTCTGTCGAAGTTCATTTCTATTGCGACAGAATAATAAATCGACACGTGACGAAAACAAAAAACGAAACAAACGTTTTGCGAGAAAAATAAAATTTTAATTCTTAATTGTTCAATCATGTGTGTTTATATAAAATTTTGTATCTAACATAAGTGCATCACTGATATTTTTATATGCAATATGTTCTGTTTATTTTATTTTGTATTTTATTGCAAGCGTGTATCCGGCTTGCAAAAAAGAGACGTAAATACTTATCTAAGGAGAACAAAAAAGATTATATTTATATGAATGTAACAATTTTTATAACTTAAAAAAAATGTTGCACATACACAACATACGCAGACATTTTGGGTTACGACAATAAATAAAAATTCAAACTTATATTAGTAAAATTTCCAAAAACTTTTGCGTAGTATTTTTTCCTTCCGTGTTATTTTTCCAGTAAAATAATTTTAAAAATAACAGATTGTTCAGCAGATAATATAAATATTTCAGTTCGAAGTTTCTAAGTCTTGGTTATCGTCCATTTATTTCTCCCTACGCTATCATCACTTTTCTACAAGTTAAGCATTTTCTTCCACATGCCGGTGCTATTTTTTCAATAAAGTTGTACGTGACGCGTTTGCTGTGTCGCAAGTAAGTAAATTTGCAAACTAAGTAAAGTTGTTCACGCTTGTGCATATCGTGTGAATAAAACAGGAAAACCAAAGAAGTCGTGAATATTTAGACGCGCACAAAATATTCAAATAAGATCGATTTGTAATCCGTTCCGATATAAAATATTCTTGCTAGATAAACCAGAAAATAAAAAAAATTAACTTTTAAAAACTTCTTTTAAAAGTTGTTCACAAAACAACTTTTAATTCTTGATTGCAAAAAGCTGAAGATACGCAAATTCAAAAGAAAAACAATTTTAATTATTTATAAACTTGCATAACGTATAAAATTTGCATTGAGATTACTTCATCGATATTTTTATACATCATCATCTTCAATAGTTTATTGTCATCGTATATTGTACTGTTTTTTATAAAGTAAAGTTTAGACATAATTCGTTACTATAATCAATCTAGAGACGTAATAATTAGACATTACGATATCGTCTCATTTCGAGCGATGTGTCCATAATCTCGGACATTTTTTTCTGAAACGTGTTTGTACTCAATCTAAATTTTCCTCGCGACTACAAACATTAACGCACATGTCCGCAAAAATTATTCCTACAAATAGTTTATAGGTTTTTGTTTTTAATTTATATGCTTTTATAAAAATTTATTTTGCATTTTCTTAGAACAGAGGATTGAAGATGATCAAAATAAAAAAATTATAATTCTCCACTCACATTGGATTTCAGTTTTAAGGAACGCGCGCGTTACAGTTTTATTTTATTTCGAATTATATTTTTCGCGATAAAACCAGATTGCAATTGATCTGTTTGCGCGATCCATTTACGTACAGTATGAGATACGCGATTGACGTAGCAATTGATTATCGCTTGCGCGAATCATATTCGATTACTTCCCCTCTGATTAAACATCTTATCTCGCAATTAGCAGATTATTCGTTTTTTTTTTTTTATTAATGTATAACTTTATGTGAAAACACTGATGTCGATTTATTTCTTTACGACACCGTGAAATCAAATAGTAATGGCTCTACACAACTCGCGCTTAATGTTGCATTGACGGCTCTTTTTTTCATTAAATGCAATAACACACGTGTAAATTTACCATGTGCTGACATGCAACAGATAACAACATAAACAAAAGATAAGAAATGCATTTGTAAAAGATAGAAAATTTATGTTCAACATTTAGTATTATAATAGGTACACGTGTATGTACGTTTAGTATTTTTTACCAAATCGATATTCGAGTAATTGTTTTTATTGTATTTCGCTTGTTTTAATTTGTTACGCAAAACATTGTAGATGTGAGTATCGGAGGACTCTTCCGCCATTTTTCAAATACATTTCAAAAGCAAAATCGAAGATCTACCGTGATTGACAATCAAAGAACGATGTGTTGCGCGAAACGTTTTTCTTACACGAACTTTATGTTCTTCTAATACGTTATCTCGATCATCAATATCAGTTGATACTGAATAAAATGTTATTAAATATTGTCATAACCATGAGCACGGAGTCGTAAACAGAAATCCTAAGGCAATCCTCGTTCTACAATAAGTCGTATGTCGCTGTCAGACGTCGGGCGCAAGCGTATCAAGCTGACTCGTCATCGAGAGCTGTCGTAAGAGAATCGAGTGGTTAGCTCAACACATTTGCACTCGACGTCCGACAGCGACATACGACTTTATTGTAGAACAGGCCTAAAACGAGCCAACACAAACTTTGCGCGATCAATGATATTGTACCAACAAATATATTTGTAAAAACTCTCACTTCAGGACACATCTTTTTCACTTTTTTATCTATTAATTATCTTACGGTGAAAATTTTATGTTTGCAACTAAAACTCAAAGATATATTTGTCCTTTTTTTTTTCGAAAGTGAGAAGCTTTTGTGGCAAAAACGACAAAGAACCTGCCTCAAACATGGTGATGTGTCTGAAGTGAACCAGGTGATAGATTTGCTAACAATTGGCTGAACTAGGTGTCAGCCAATTGTTAGCAAATCTATTCTATCTTTTAAAATTTATTCTCTCCTATAATTATGTTGACAATTATTTTACGATCGTGTTGGGGTTGCGTCTATGTGTAGCGCAATTAAGTCAAACGCTTATATTAAATAATAATCATAATAATAATAATTATGAAAATTTATATTAAAATTATATTTGTAAAAATATTTGCGAAAATATTGTACCTCTTGTGCGCATCTACTTGCGAGAGTACAACAATACGCAAGACAAAAGTTGCTAGTGACAGAGCAATTTGTTTTGACCGATGACGATAAAAGTGAAGATGCACCTGAAGTTCGATGAGATCGTTTCTCGATTGTCGCGCATTCTATCGAATTGTATTGCGCGCGCGAACGACTAACTTTTCTCGCAAGTAGTTTTTAAGGTCAAGTGCGCACTTGCGATTTTCCGCGAATCGTTGCGATTTATTATTATGCGTTCGCTCGTATGACGATTTATTAAAAAATTGACTTTAAGAGAATTGACTTAAGATTACATAAGTAATCGCGCGACAAAAAGTTTCTCACAAGTACGCGCGTAAAAGGAGGAAGAAAAGAAAAAAAAAAAAAAATTAAAGAGACCTATCGGCTACTGGTGCTCCCATCGCGCGACGTTCATCACGATGTTACGGCAAGTGGAGAGACCATCGTCGGGGTTAACTCGACGACAATCACGATCACGATTACGGAGGAAGCCACACCAGACCAGAGGAAGTCAGAGCCCCGGAACCCCACTCTTCGTTCCATGGAAGAGGACGCGACCAGCTTTTCTCCCACCACGCCGATCGCTATTTCTACCTTCGATTATTTCCGTTGGAACCGTTTGTAATCGCTGCGCGCAATTGGTCTGGCGCCACGGCCAATCGCAGCCATCTTTTCCACTTGTTCCGTCCGCCGCGTGGCGGCGCAATGAGGTAAGGGGAAATCAGGGTATCCGCGCGTTTGATATCGCCTTGTGGCGCGGGCAACACACCGTGCCGCTGCCATGCACTCGACACTTCCACCGCTCCGCCGCAGCACAGAGTCTAGTCGCTCGCCGACCTCGAGACGCGACGGTGAGAGAGTATCAGGCGTTGTTCTCTGTCGCAATTGCACCTATCGCGCGTTACCGACGAGCCGCCGCAGTAGCTTAAGCATTAATCGCTTTTGCTTATCGCTGAGCGAACACCAAATGCGAAATTTCTGCTCCCGCGAGATTTGCTCGCCGTCATCATCATTGATCATTCGTATTTCCACGGTCGAAGGAAGTACAAGTGTCGCTTTCCGTATGTAGACGGGAGTCAAAGACGAAGTGAACACAAGTGCGTAATTGTGTTGCTAAAAAACATAACCGAGGATTTTTTTCTGTGATATAGAAACAAACGCTGTTTCGTTGATGTAGATGATACAATCGTGCGAATCTTGGTCTCACGTGTTTTCACGGCGACAAGTTTGCGGAACACCACCAACACGGATTCTCATCCCGCGGATGAGCCGCCCGCTGCGACTTGATTACGCGCGCGTGCCGCCCCCCGTGTGCGCGCGAGCGCCGTGATCTTCGACACGAGAAAAAAATAACGAACAACCACCGGCCGACGATTTTCGTCTGTTCCAAGCACGGTTTTGCGCGTGCTTGGACGACGACGACGACGACCACGACAACGGCAAGTGATCATTTTGCAGTGGACTATCCTCGGGCGAGGAAAAAAAAGGATTTTATTGACGAGACGTCGTCGCAGTCGACAACGGGGGATCAGCGATAAACGGGGCAGCAATTGAGGTAATTGTCCTCGTGAAAGTTTTATTTATTTATTTTTTTTTTTTTATTTTTTTTTTTTTTTATCTTTTTCGTATGTCAAGCTGCGTTTGACGCTGAGTACCAGGCGATGTTCTCGCGACAATCGCGAGCCACGTCGACGACGAGACGCGATATATGCGCGTGCGTGCGTGCGTGTGTGTGTATTTTATGTGTATACAATCCGTTGTGCGCGGGCGTACGCGTGTACTCGGCGCTTTTTCCTCCCGATTCTCCGTTGTAAACAAACCGTGTCTCGTCGTAGTGGTGGTGGTCGTCGATGTCGTCGTCGTCGTCGTCGTCGTCGTCGTCGTCGTCGTCGTCGTCGTCGTCGTCGTCGTCGCTGCGTTTTGCGGAACGCTACCGTTTTTTTCTCTCCCTTCCCTGAAGTTGTCGAGTTTTTTTTACGGTTTTTTTTTTACGAAGTTTGCACTTCGTACGTACGTGCTCGAGCAGAAGTTTTTAAGAAGCTCGCTGAGCACTTTGTTTATCGCGCAACGTGAACGAGCTCCGGTTTGACGAGAACGTTTTTTTATTTAGACAAGATGATAAACGATAATGACGTTTGTGTGAAATTAATATTAAACGAAGGAAAGAAAGAAAATCACTTAGAAAAACTACTTAGAGAAAATAATCATGAATAGCAGTTAGATAATTTTCTCAGAAATCTACACAATAGCTACCTATTCGAGGTTTTTTTCTATAAGCTTAATAGGTACGTTTATACGTTAAGGATCTTTATATAATTAAGATTGTTGTGATTGTTGTGACTGTTTGTAAACTACATGTCAACGTCTTCCTTTATTTACCTGAAAATAAATAATGATTTGTAAATTCTTAACGTCTTAATTCAGTAATTTTGTCCGAAATTAAAAGATGCTTTACAATTCTTTCGGTGTGTTGATATTTACTAAAACGACACTCGACGGTATAATAACTGCATTCAGGTTTTAAAACGTGTTTTGTTGAAATTGTATTTATGTGTTCTTTGAAAGAGAATTACGTTTGTATTTTATTCCAAATTAGCGCTTCTGATAGTAGTAACATAATGTTGATTTTCAGAATCACCCGCTCTGTTTTTCTCTCTTTGATAATTTACCGTATTTCACAAATTAGTAATTACTTTCCGGAAGTGATTTTGTGTTTGGCAGTAACGTTACATTTTTCGCGAATTAAATTAATCAAAATTTAGTCTTGCTCTTTTCCTCGCTCTGTTTTCTTCACACGATTTGAACGTGTCCTCGGATATACATTTTGTTTTTTTGTGTTTTGTCATTCTTCCAGGTGTGTTTTCTTCGTATTTTTTGTTCTTCCGTTTCGTCTTTCTGTTATCATAAAACGCGAAAGGTCAAGTGCTCGCGCGACAAAACTCCGGTTGATTTTCTTTTTTATGTCGAGATATCTCGCTTGAGAAATTCAAAGCGAGGCGGGATCACGTTATGATTCGCGCGTGTTGCGAGTTAATTCCGGTGCGACGAAACCCGGAAATCCGCTGAAAGCTCCGACCTCGCTTTAATCCGCTCGGCGATGTTAATAACCGGTGGTGCGGAATTCAATTAACGCGGGCCGCTGACGTCAACCGCTCTCCTCGCAACTTTGTTATGCGGAACATCGGGGAAGTAAATAGCGCATTGTCGTCTTCGAATGGACGAATTGCAAATGCATCGTTGAATAACGCGCAAGGAAGTAATTTTTTACTGTATTTTTTTTTTTTAAATTCGCGTTCTCTGTTCTTTCTTGTGTGTATGTTTATTGATTGATAAAAAAAAAAAAACTGATTCCATGTTTACGACCAAAGCGGGGAACACATAACCATTATATAGAGACCATGTACGAGGGAAGTAATTTTATTATCGTCGCAAATTCTTGTTCGTAGGTAACTAAATAAAAATTTACTCCAAATGATATTTTGCGCAATTGCTCTTGGGTGGAAGTGATGAAATGGCTTGTGGAGACTGATTAAAATGTGCAAAAAATAACGTTCATACTTATATGTATAAGATTTTAGTATTACGAAAAACGCGGGTTTATCTCACTCTTCACCCGTGAGGGGTGATATCGAAATGCTGATTATTGTTATTCAGTGTCGTCCTGCACTTTGAAATATGTCATTTGTACGATTGCATGTAATTATACTCGTAATTACACTTCACGCGTAATTATGTCGGACATGTGGCGATAGTTCAGGTGTTTAGGTTTTATTTTAAGACACTTAAGCCAATTCTCTCGAAAATTACTTCCTGTATAGATAGAAATGTTTACGTGTGTATGTGTGCGTTCTCACGTTCCGCATCAATTCTTAAATTCCGTATAAGTTTTCCGTGAGTTTATCACGGAAAACGTAAACATCACTTTATATATATATATACGTAAGCTACGTACTTAAAATTAATTTTTAATTTTTACACGGCTATTCGCATTAGATGTAAGTAGAGAGAGAACGAGAGAAATATCAAAGTGTATACACACATCTCTCGAAGTATATAGATATCTCTCATCCAACTAGTTACGCAATCCAAACAAGACATGGAAGTTTTTCGTTAAGTGTACACGCGCGATATATATACATATATATATGTATACGTGGCGCGTAATGCGGAAGCGAATCGCCGTTCGAACATATATTTGTCTCGCGGGTGTTGAAATATTCAACTACAATCTTATCTTGCCTGTGAATAATATCGCCTTAAAATGAGCCTTCGAGCGATCGCTGCGAGAAACAACGGGAAGAAGGAGAAGGAGGAGGAGAAAGACCAATAGGGACGAAAACACGACAGATCGATGGGATCTAGCGTGTGTCTGCTCGCTTACGGAAACATTTACGTAAACCTGCCCGGTAGGAACCGCTCGTATTTCTTAATCGTTATTGAGGAAGTTGCGCGTTATCATTTACATAACGCGAACGAGCGAGCGGGCGAGCAAGTCCGGACGAGCTCGCGCGCGTAATATCCAACCTGCTCGCGGCTTTCGCAAGATTTCCCGCGAGTTTCGCATACAACACGGGTACCGCCATCGGGCGAGAGAGAGAGAAAAAGAGAGAAAGAGAAAGAAAAAGAGAAAGAAATCCGTTCCCTTTTCCTCTCTTCAAATTTTCTGCAAAATCACTCGCTCATGTTGCAGAGCTTTTTCCCGATTAGAAAAATATAACTCGCGAATGAAAGTGGAGAGTCGGAAATATTACACGCTAAACTGAAAAACAAAGTGGAAGTTGTTAGAGAAACAATTTTCTTTTTTTTTTTTTTTTTTTTTGTTATCAAAGTAACACAGTTACAGTTTTCTTTCTGTCGCGATTACTCGGATCAATTTTATACGGCGAAAATAGATATATAAGTAACGAAGGAGGAAACTCTCGTCTGGGAAAATTCAGATTTCTGCATAAATTAGAATAAGGTGTGGGACGTCGTGAGGGAGGGACGCACTCTCGGTTCCTCGTCGCGCCAGGCGCGAGCTTTCCTCCTTCTTCTCCTTTGTTCGATCGGAGAACGCGGATTGATTTCTGATTAATGCGGATCCTCCGCGTGGTAGGTACGTTGTCGTATTACTTCCTCATTGCGAAACCGCGGAACGACAGCCAACAACGGTAGCATCGATGCAACAACGCGGCAATACACGCAATTAAAGCACCGTTCGCGGGAAGAATTCGCCGTGATGATGTTTACAAACTTCGTAAGCAGATAATAAGAAGACAAAGCGAGTGGAGTTGGTCGCGCGCTCATTGGCGTAAACTTTCGAGATTTACTCGCGACTCGCTCGAAGAAACGTAAAAACACTAATGAAGTTTTATTTTATAATACTATTTTATAATACTATTTTATCTCGCAAAGTATTTTATATAAATTTTATATAAATATAATTAACAAATTGTTTGTTTCTTCTTTAATTTTCGGTTTCGCGGGAAGTTTTTAAATAGCGCGCACGAGTCGCAATAACGCAAATTCACGGTAAACCGATCTTAATCATTCGAAACCAAAAGAACCGCGTAAGTGACGTAAAGTGAAACGTAGAATCATTTGATTGGGATCGTTTGACGTCAATTGGTCGGGTGCGCGCGCGCGACGGTGTGCCCTATCGTTTTGACAAGAAGATATCCGGATTGGCTTGGTGGTTTCCGGTGACGACGCCAATGCGACTGGCTGGCAGACGACTGTGATATGTACATAGGTTATCATCTGCATGCACGGGTTATATAGAGTGTATATAGCCAGCGAACGAAGGAGCCGCGCGTGTTTCGCGCGTCCGAGTGTGTCGTATTCTTAACTTTTATACGATGCGCGCTTGTCGTCATCGTCGCGTCCGGATACAAATACGGGCGTTGTGCATCGCGCGGTTGCAACCGAGCTGCCATCTCTTGGCATCGGAAAGACGAAAGAAAGAGGAACGGGCAGTGGAAGCTGTAGCAGGGGAGCTCTCTGCGACAATGGGTAGCCGCGACGGAGCTCGAGAACGGCAAAACCGGAAGTCCGCTCGCCGCGTTTAGAATCATAATTCTCTCCCTTAGCGCTAAATTTGGTGGCAATATCTTCCATCGCGGAGACCTTTAACTTTTGCGTTTATAATTTCAGTATTTCTTGTTTTGTTACAACTGTTATTTTTTTGTTTAACTATCAACAAGAAAAAGATGTGGAGAATCATGAGATGTAAAAAACAAAAACAACTCAAATGAACGTTAAACAAGCGAAAGATTAAGTAGACAATTATCTTAATTGTTTACTGTTCTGTTTATAAATTGGTAATTAATGTAATTGCCTCATACAGTGCCGTTTAACAAAGATCATACGTCTCACGTCGCGATATTATTTGTCTCTTCTACAATTTAGATTCAATTATGAAATTTTCATAACTAAGAAGTTACTTGCGTTGTTCGTAAATTGAGATAAATTCAATACGTCTCTCTTATATTAAATAAAAAAAGTCTATAGTTCCGTGTTGAATAAAAGTTACAGGAGTTTTTAAATTGAATAAATATATTACTTCGATTGAGAGAA